GCAAGTCACGTCGGTGTTTGTTAGTCTTGTTTGCTTGTTGTTCTTGTGTTCTTTCAAGGGCTTCGGATGCTTCTCTTTCAAGGGCTTCGGAGAGCGGGAAGAACGGCGAGGAGCTAGGCCTTATCCATCCCTTCTCGAACAACTCATCTAGCTGGGCTCGCAGTTCTTCCTGCTCTTTTGGTGACATTCAGTATATCGGGCCCTTGGGAATTTGACTTTCAGGTATTATATCAATGCGATGCTTGATGGGTTGTTCTACAACACCACTTGGGGCCTCTGCCACATCTGCGAATTCTTTCATAATTTTCTCAATTTATGGGGATCTTGCCTCCTCCTTAAGTTCACCTTCCTTCACCGGGCGCACATATGCCACAAACACTTGATCAAACATGTTATATTTCTTTACGTGGCTGGCGAATGCTGGGGCACTCGTACAACAATGAGCTAAGCTGCTTTCCTTACCGGATTCATCGAACAGGCAGATTTTCTTCTCTCCACCTTGCGGACTAGGAAGCCAACACTCATGATCCCTTAATTGTATATCCGCATCCGCAACTTCACCCCAATCCGTGCCTAAAAGAATGTCGAAAGGGAGACTATCTTCCACCAAGAGAGCCAGAGATTGGAGAACACGTTCCACCTTCCCCTCTGTTTCGAGTCGAAAGTATGTCTGGATCCCCTCAACATATCTATCCATCACAATCTTGCTACTATTTGCTAATTTACTTACTACGGGCTCATCCAATTGTTTTACCTTTAGCCTGAGACGCAACTTTTGCAGACCTTTCTTACGAATATAGCTGCGTGTTGACCCACTATCAATCATACCACCTACTCTTACTTTATTGACCTCTAAATTTGCAATAATTAACTGTCCTTTACTTTTCTTCATTTCGGTTCAAGCTTTGCGACGAGTGGCCAACTCATCACCTATGCCAGCGAGGGATCCACCTAGAGACGTACACACGCTAACTACCTCTGGACAACTAACTAGGTGGGGACCGTCTACCTCTTCAACCTTCAGATGGGAGGATACCTGTTTATTTACATCTGAAGTTCCTGTAGAGGCAACCGAGACCCCTACTGGCTGTTCCCTTTTGGCATTTTGTATTCTGGACAATAGGGAACTATGTGGTCGGGGTCACCACACTTGAGGCGTTGTCCGGCTGCTTTTTTGTCCTGACAGACCTTTTCTGTGGTTGCCAATTTCTCCCATGGTCTGCCTTCCAGCAAGCCGGGATGGGGTGGATATGGTTTGTCCCAGTTTCCATACCACGTGCCTCTTGGGTCCTCGGCCACCTTGCGAGGGGCCATTGCCCCTTCCTCCCACGTAGTAGCTTCCTTCGCCACCACCCCTCTGGGTGTCGGGTCTTCTTCCTCCACGACCACGGCCTCCGCTTCCTCTTCTACGGTCTCTTTCTTGTCGCCCTCCCCCGCGGGCTGCAACGACCGCGTAGTCCCCCTCCCGAACTATCGATCTGTTGTGTACATCTCCCTCCGGACCATAGTCCGAGCGCTCGATCCTCGGCCTCCCATGGCCTGGCCCCTTTGGCCCTGGCCTCCTCCTCTACCTTGCGGCTTCCCTCAAGCCACGACAGCAGCATAGGACCTCCCCTGTCCCACGCTACTGTCCTTCTCCTCGAGGCCCCACTCAATCTGACTGTACGGGACCTCGTAAGTACCACCTTCCTCCAATGTAAGGATCATGTGATCCTTGGCCCTGACTTGGGCAGAGATGGTACGACCTTTCCACTTTTTACCCTTATCTAAGTCCTTATGCCAGAAAGTGGAAACTGGCATTGACTTTGCTTCGGACAACACCACTTCTCTACTCAACGCATCATACGTCATAGTGGGCTGTTGGGATTTGTCAAAGAAATGCCCTTGTAAGGACTCCGGCATGGCACGATAGAAGAGTTGGACCAGTTGGGACTCAGTCACCCCATAGTCCGGGATGGCCACCAGGTCGTCCATAACGGCCATGAGTGCCTTGGCACTCCTCCACTGCCGTGAGTTGATGGTTTGGAGTTTGTCAGAGGCTCTTACGCCCCTGCGAAGATCAACGAATTGCTCCCTGAGGAGCTTGAAGAATTGAGGAAGGGGGGTGACCTTGGAATAAGCGACCATGTTGTTCTCGCAACCGGCCGCGCGCGTGAGGGACCTAGCAAAACTAGCTGCTTCCTCCTTGAGGGCTTGGAAGGCTACAAGGACCTGGTCGTCTTGTACGATATGCTGTAAGTAAACATAACTGTTTACGCTAGCCTCCCGGTTATCGAAATTCTCCTCAGGCTGCCCGCCGTACGCGTTTGGGAACTTGAGCTTAACTGGTTCCTTGCGGGGTCTGGCCTCACTCTCGACGGTGGCTACGGCTTTGGCACCCTCAATGGCGCCCTCACAAAACTTCCCCACGTTATCTTTTAACCGCCTGACTTCGGCCCCAACGTGGGTAACCATATCGCGCGCAAACTCTCGAAACCCTGACCGCATAGCACTCAGGGCCAAATCGTGACCCGAGTTGGCTTGGCGTTCCTCCAGCCAGGTCTCACTCAATACTTCTAGATACCCCAGCATCTTATCCATTTTGGCAGAAACATCTGCCTGCGCCTGCACTTCTTGTCTACAGGCTCTCACCTTCTCCACCTCTGCGGTCAGCCGATTAACTTCCTCCCTCCTCTTCTTTTCCCTCTTCATTTTCAACTTCCACTCCAACTTCTTCTCCTCCTCTGCCTCCTGTCGTTCCAGGGGGTCCTCAATCGTTGCTAGTGCCCTGGCGAACGTCTCCTTCTCTTCCTGTGGCACAAACAATTGTGCCTCCTCATCTTCCCCCAACGATAAGTTAGCTATCCACTCGCTGATTTTTTTCTCCATCTCTGCATTCTCATTCTTCATGCTTTTCTTCTCTGCGTCTTCTCTCTTTTGCTTCTTCTGTTGCTGCTTCTTCCTTGGCAGCCTTTTTCTTCTCCTCCATCTCCTCCTCCAACTTCTTCATTTTCGCCGCCTGCTCCTCTGCGATTGCTTTCAATTTCGCCTGCTTCAGGAGCTCTTTCATCTCTTTATTCTCTTTCACTAAGGCGGCCATCTGCTCTTGTTGAGCCTGGGTATAGGGGCTAGTGCTCTTCCCACTACGGGTGTCAACCATGGTGATTAGTGTACAACCCGGTTAGCGGTTCCAAACCTCACCACTTAGACTCTAACCCCTGACTGACAAACTGACTGACTCAATCTAAAGACTCACAGAATCCGGACAAGGATCCTATCAACTAGGGTCTCTAGCCTAGACCTACTCTAAGGCTGTCACTACTAGACCTGTTGCTGATCAGGAGGCATTTAAGGAGATCCCCCGTAACTCCGTAGGAATTATTTAACGTCGCAGACAGGACGACGCGATCAGCAGGTCTCTCAACACTTAGACTGCCTGTTGCGCAGCCCACAGCTCAGCCTTTCAGGCCGACCGTGCCACAAGGAGCAGCCCGCCGGTCTGTACCGGTCCTTGGGAGGGTTCGTGTCCTCCGGGACAGTCGAGTGTCAGACAGTCTTTAGCCCTACTTAGTCCGGCAGGGGTTTGGTCAACAAGGCCCTATCCTTCATCCACAGAGTTCCTACACCTAGACAGAAGAGACTCAATGCAGAATGAAGAGACAGACAGACTTGACTTCAGCAAGTACCACAGGGTGTGTGCAAATCCATAGGGCGAGGGATAGGCTGAGGGCTTGGCGAGAGTATACCTGCTCCAGCTTAGTCAAAATCGTGGTCAACGGTCTTGGTCAACGCCGGTCAACGTTGCAGTCGGCCCCCGGTGAACTCTGGTCAACGCCGGTCAACACCTCCGGTCAACTCCCGGTCAACCCTGGTCAACGCCCGGTCAACGCCTGGTCAACTCTCCCGGTCAACGCCCGGTCAACTTCTCCGGTGCTATGGCTGCCGGCTTTACTTTCCTCACCACCCTTCTCCTTCCTTTCTCCTTCCTCGCCACCTTTCTCTTCACCCCGGCTGTCTTCTATCTCTCTCTTTTTTTTTTTTTTTTTTTTTTTTGATCGTCTCTTTCTCTTCACCTTCTTGGCTATGGCTTCTCTCTCCCTTCTCAGTCTCACCCTCTGTCCTCTCTCACATCCTCCTTTGTCACTCCGTGGTGCAAGCTTCGCGGCTATGGCCGCTTCCTTCCTCCTCGTGGGACTGCACGGCGCACTTCACAGGTAAGTGACAACCAAACTTGTATCGCTCATCTCTCTCTTCTCTCTCTCTCTGTCTCTCTCTCTCTCTCTCTCTCTCTCTCTCTCCCCGTAGCGATGTCTTCAACGCAGAAACGTGGTAAGCCAATCTTGTATCTCTCAACCTTTCTCTCTCCCTCTCTCTCTCTCTCTCTCTCTCTCTCTCTCTCTCTCTCTCTCTCTCTCTCTTCCTCTCTCTTCCTCTCTCGGTCTTCTTCTTCGTCGTGGTCTTCTCTGCAGGTGCGCATGGCGGCTTCTTCAACCTTGGTGTCCGCTATGGCGGACTTCTTCTTCGTCGGCCACCTCAGCTATGGCACATCACTCCCTGCGACACACAACGCAGCGCGTGGAACAGCGGGTACCAGCTCCAATACCAATGCAATCAGACTTGCTTTCATTCACACTTTACATGGATGCAAACAGTAGCGCAGCAAACTGGCGACATGCGCCCACTCAGTACTCAGAGATATGACAACCAGATACGAGTTCACTCCCAATGGCCATGGCGATATAGTGCCCATACAACTCTCTGTTTGCATACAGTGGATCACCCTGGATATCCCACGTGCGTCTCTCTGAACACTCACACACACATACACTGAACAGTAACTACAGCTATGGCGGCTATGGCCGCCTCTACCCTATCGCTATGGCTAAGCTTCATCTCTCTGCCCACTTCGTCTTCGGGCTCACTGCAGACCTCCTTGCACAAGTCGCTGTGGCAGCGCTTCC